AATCTAAAATTTGCCTTAGATAATGGACACAACTCTTAATGTTCAGTTCCTAATCTATTATTGTGTTATTCGGTATGTGTTTGGTCTGGAATGGTCACCCATAGACAATTTCATATTGACTCAAACTGAGCTTGCTTCAAGGAGCAACCCTCACCCTGAGCAAGGCAATAGACAAGGCTTGCTCCCAGCAATGTGTTTCTTGGGACAACTTAGTGATCATCCTTTTACAGGGTGATTCATGTTCTCTACCTGAGGATTCCAGGCTGTGTGTAACCTCCTTTTATGTCTAAGTGTTTGTTTATTCTTTAAGCCATCTTGGATTCTGATGAACAGTCTACAAGTTATAAAATTTTTCTCACTAAGGATCTGATAATTTCTCAATTCAAGAGAAGAATTCTCTAATCCATCTTCCCAAAGTGTCATTACAGACCAACATATATTTGAACCCTCTTGATTTTGATTTTACAGTAAAACCAACTTGCCAGTTCTCAAATGGATACTGTCCCCACCATTGTTTGAAGTCCTTTTGGTTTGGGATATGTGTTTTTCTGACAAACTGCACATTGAGTAGTTGTTCTTACTATAGCTTTGGACAGGCTGGGGCTTTTCTTTCCAGATAGAACTGTGAACATGTACAACCACGGAAGTATCCCAGGGTCAGTATAACTATTGGCTGGATTTCCTGCTGACTGTTCAGATGCTCAAGTCAGTGCTATGAGTTGAGCTTTCTAGGCAGACATCCCTGGTGGTAGTACTTAGCCTTGTTGATATCCTCCAGGGTAACCACAACAAACCTAGCCATTCTACCACACTGGTGGATGTAGCTGCTTCTGTCAGCATACAGGGTCCAGGCAGCTTTGCTCAGAACTGATCCTGTAAGTCAAATCTGCCACGGTAGGTTTCATCTACGATCTGGGTGCACACATGTAGTAAAGGCTTCCATCTGGGGCCCAGGAGGAGAGTAGCTATGTTTATCTTTCACATCAGCATGAGGGATACATCAGGATTGTTAGGTAGAACTGCTTGGCATTTTCTCACTGGCCTTTAGTGGGTCACATATTTCCTTTTTGTTCTAAAATGATCATCACTTTGTGTAATGCACCTACCACAGTGGCCTGGACACAACTCTTTTGCTTCCTGTAAGAGTTTATATGCAATGGCTATAGTCCCTTCTGCTGTGGGACTCTTTCAAAGCTTGTTGATATTCCTGGATCCATTCCAAACATTTCCACTCAGATCCCTGCAAAGCTTCCTAAAGGGCCTTAGCCCACAAGGTCAAAGGTTGGGATTCAAATTCTACAGCAACCTGTCAAGCCTAGGGAACACATGAATTATTATTAGAAGGGGTTTCTGTTTATGTAGTTGTCTATTTCTAGTCCCTGATCAGGAGTATCTCTTTCCTGTTTCAAAGAGGAAACCCAAGAATCTCATGGAAAATTTAGACTTTTATGCCACATACTCACAGGCAGTCAGATGATTAAACACTCTCTGGTGTTTGTTAAGTGTTGCTGAAAGGAATTGCTAATTATCAGCCAAGTACTGATAAGCAACTCACTCCCTTTCGATGCTAAGTCTCTTAGATTTTGACCTCAATATCTCTCCAAAGGTTGTTGAAAAATTCTTAAACTCCTGGCATAGCACTGCCCAATGGAACTGATTTTTTGCTTTTATTTTTATTTTTTCATGTGCATGGGTGTTTTGAATGCAGTGACCACACAGGCCAGATGAGGGCACCAGAACCTCTAGGACTGGAGTTACAGACAGCCATGAGCTGCTATATATGGGTTCTGGAAATTGAACCTGGGTCACATACTGTAATTTTTTAAAGGAAGGCACGTGTGTGACGTCCATCTGTCACATATGATTAGGTAAAAGTTTTCGGGGATTAACTCCCAAATGAGGAACAGGTTAAAAATTTAACACAAATAGGACATGATTTAACTATCTGGATGGCATGTTTTCAGGTTATGTCTGTATGATGACGAAGAGATCCAGCATTAAGATGATAACGTTGATGTAACTGAGTAGCCTTATCAAAGGCAGAACAGACTAATGTGACAGCCATACGAGTAATGGCGTCAGCCCTCTGATTACCTTCATTTAGAGGTCCAGGCAATTGAGTATGAGCTCTAATATGGCCCATGTAAAGGTTATGTGAGTGGGATCATATAAGTCCTTGTGCTTGTAATAAATATTTATGAATGGGAGAAATGGGTAGTATATAGGCTGTTGTCTTCAAAGGCATAATGGCATGTGCCACATATTGACTATCAGTATAAATATTTACATTCTCATCAGAAAGCATCTGTAAAGCAAGCAACAGCGTCTGTACCTCTGCCATCTGGGCAGAAGTGTCTTGGACTCTCATTTTTTTTATTATGTTACCAGAAATAAACATGACAGTAAAACCACGTGAAGTGTCATCAGTAAATACCACACCACACGGGCCTGAGGAAGATCAGCCAATGCTCTTAACCATTGAGCTATCTCTTCAGCTCCTAGTACTGGGAGTCTGGGTTCTGTCACTCAAAGGTGAACAAAGGATGT